AAAAAAAAAAAAAAAAAAAAAAAAAATTAGCTGGGTGTGGTGGTGTGTGGTTGTGGTCCCAGCTACTCGAGAGGCTGAGGTGGGAGGATTTGCTTGAGACTGGGAGACAGAGGTTGTAGTGAGTCAAGATTGTGCCACTGCACTTCAGACTGGAGAAAAAAAAAAAAAAAAAAAAAAGGAAGCAAAAGAAAGGAGCTAAAAGATTGTTGACCACATTGAAGGTCCTACTAGTTAGAAATAATATATTTGTAATAGGGCCCACTAGCATGGATTTTACACTTTCTTCGACAGCCTAAGAATAGTAGGACAAAAAAGATGGTTGGATTGATTCAACATTGGAAGTTGCAGGACAGAAAGATAAAATGGGAAGCAACTTTACACTGTTATTGATAGTGTAGGAGATAAATTTGAGTCCAAGGGACCAAGCTGGGAGTTATCAGAAGCAAATCTACAGGGAGGCTGGTGTACTTGGAGAATAAAAATACAATCAGAAATGTGGTTGAAGACCAGATTTTGTAAGTAATATATAATTGGCTAGCTCGGAGTTCATTATTTTTTTTTTTTGAGACGGAGTTTTGCTCTTGTTACCCAGGCTGGAGTGCAATGGCGCGATCTCGGCTCACCGCAACCTCCGCCTCCTGTGTTCAGGCAATTCTCCTGCCTCAGCCTCCTGAATAGCTGGGATTACAAGCACGCGCCACCATGCCCAGCTAATGTTTTTTGTATTTTTAGTAGAGACGGGGTTTCACCATGTTGACCAGGATGGCCTCGATCTCTTGACCTTGTGATCCACCCGCCTCGGCCTCCCAAAGTGCTGGGATTACAGGCTTGAGCCACCGCGCCCGGCCCGGAGTTCATTATTTCAAGGTAAAGACAAAAACTGGCTTAACTGGCCGGCTCATGCCTGTAATCCAGCACTTTGGGAGGCTGAGGTGGGTGGATCATGAGGTCAGGAGTTTGAAACCAGCCTGGCTAACATGGTGAAACCCTGTCTCTACTAAAAATACAAAAATTAGCTGGGCCTGCTGGCGCACGCATCTGAAAATCCCAGCTACTCAGGAAGCTGAGGCAGGAGAATCGCTTGAACCCAGGAGGCG